TATTTTCATAAAGCTTCAAAACCACATTAAATTTATAGGGCCTTATCACAAGGGTATTGTTAATATTTATGGCATTTCACAAGATCCAAATACAAAAGAATATGTTCTTGTAATGAGATATGCAGCTGAAGGAGATTTTAAAAAATATTTAAAATCAAATAATATAGGATGGAATGATAAAATTAAAAAACTTTATGATATTATCTCAGGTTTAAACTCGCTTCATCAAGAAAAACTTATACATAGTGATTTTCACAGTGGTAATATTTTATATTTTGAATATTTATCTGAGACAATGATTACAGATTTAGGGTTATCAGGCCCAACTGGTCAAGAAACATCAAGTAAAAATGGTATATTTGGAGTACTGCCATATATTGCACCAGAGGTATTAAATAAGAAACCTTATACACAAAAATCTGACATCTATAGCTTTGGGATTTTAATGTCAGAAACATCAACACATCAACAGCCATTCAAAGATCAACCACATGATATAGATCTTGCTTTCAAGATCTGTGGTGGCTTAAGGCCTAGTTTTTCAGATAATACTCCAGAATGTTATATTAAGTTAGCATACAAATGCATGGATGCTGATCCTGAAAAAAGACCAACAGCAGATGAAATTTTTAAAATTATTACTTTTTGGAAAGATGGAATTGAATCTAATATTTCTAGTTATTCTGATGAATTAGAAGAAATAAGAAAAGTATTTAAGGAAGCAGATAAAAAACCCTTTAATCCTTCAACAATTTCAGCAACTGTTCATCCAAATGCTGTTTATACAAGTAGATTATTGAATTTCACAAATCTTCCTCAACCTGTAAACTCCAATAAAGTTACAATTATTAGTAATAATAATGGTAATTACCTAATTTATTGTTTAAATATTTAATCTTAATTATTTATTATTAATGATATTTTAAATCATAAACAATTATAGAATCTAAACAAATTGAATTAACTATGTCAGATTCTAAACAAATTGAATTAACTATACCAGAATAAATTTTATTTGAAATTTTCACATTAGTTTTTTTATTATTATCAAAAAAATATTTTTTAATGATTATATGCTATCTATTTTAAATTAAAGCAAACCCTCCTTATTATTAAAGTGACCTATCATAGTGGTGTATTCATTGATTATCTGGGTATTTGAGTACTTGGTCAATCAATAATAATAAAGCTCAACACCTGGATAATCAGTCAGTCAATAAAATTCAAAATCCAGTGAAAATTTTCAACACACAATTAACTGGATAATTGGTGAATAATTGGTGAATATCATTTGGTGGATACAACCATTAACCTATCACCGTGTCTCTTATCATCATTTAGTATTATTTATTTATTATTTTATTAATTTTTTATATTCAACATTTATATATACTGTTTTAAAATTTTTATCATCTATAGACACTATAAATAATAATGAGATTAAAACCTGCATCTCACAATAAATCTCAATATTTTGTTTATAATAATATGCCAACAATGTTAATACAATTTCCTCCATTTTATTTATACTAAATCATAACAACAATTTCTGCAAATGTATATTTATGCTTTACTCTCAAAACTATCTTTCACTATCAAACAATATCTTTAGATTTTGCACTATATACCCTGATCACATTTCTTAGTGGGTGTCCTTCTAGCTGTTTTCCTCTTTGCTACTTTTACCAGAATTAGCTTTGGATGCTCTTTTGGCTGAAATTAACTAATTCCGAAATTCTTAATTTTTATTATTATTCTATTTTAGTTATTTCTATTTTTATAATCTTTATAACTGAACAAGTTATTCTTTTACCCATTAAATATAATTAATATACACAATAAATGAGTTTATAATTACAACTAACCAAGTTATTCCTTTTACCCATTAAATATAATATACATACATAAATGTGTTTATAATTTATAACCAATCAAATTATTCTTTTACCCATTAAATGTAATTAACATACACAAATAAATGTGTTTATAATTTATAACTGACCAAGTTATTCCTTTTACCTATTAAATATAATATACACACATAAAAATCAGTAACCTGATAAATGATTTTAATATTATATACAAATTCAATAATTTTTTCCCTTTACCTGCAAATTCATTGTCATCATTGATATCTCATTTGATCCAAAAAAATTGATAATAAAAATAATCAATTAATATTATTTATGCTCTCTGGATCATGACTAAATTATTCACTTTACCAATTGAATATATACATACATAAAAATTGGTACAATATTCCTAATAATTCATAAAACAATAAATATATAAATTTATATATATATATATAAATAAGCTATTTAAAAAAAATTTTTTAAGTAATCCTTACATGTGTTACCAGAATTAAACGATAACGAAGATATTTTGGCCGAATCCTTAATTTCGGGTCAATTCAAATTTTATTTCTATTTTTATTTTTTTCCTATTTTTATTAATTCTATTTATATTTATTATCATCTGAACGTTTCGCGTATTTAATTATTATCAATTAGTTCGTATTTATTTAACTTTATTTAGTTAGTAGATATTAGTATTAGTGACGATGATCCCAGGGTGGGCGAAAGCATCCAACCTGGGCTAATATGTAAATGAATATGTATTTAAAGAACTTGATTTCGACCTAATGTAAAGTAACTTTCTAACAAGTTAATTAGTTTCGACTAAATAAACTAAATAAAATAGTAATATTTTGTTTAAACAAACTCTTATCTTCCTTAACCAAAATTATTCGCTAATACCAAATTTAATCGGTGACAACTTGGTGCGGGTTGTGTGGAAATTTACACCAAGGAAGATAAACTATAATCAAAATTCTGCGGAATTCTTTTTAACAGCATAATTTTATTCTATTTGAATTATTTTTAATTCCTTTATTTTTTTTTTTTTTTTACATTTTCAATTTTTTTATTTTTTTTTATTTTTATTTTATTACCTTGCAAGGTAGCTTTTATTTTTTTCATTCTATTATCTTTTGGGGTTAATTATTTTATCTCTTATTTTTATTTTTATTCTTACCTTACGAGGTTACCCCTTATCAAAAAAATTCTCCAAGGGATGAATCCAGGAATTAATCAATCATTGCAAGGGTTAATTGATCAACTGGTTAACCTGATAAGAATAAACAATAATAATGTCCAGCAAAGTCCAAGGACTCAAATGGTGAAAACTGTTTGCCGGTAACATGTTACAATTGCAAACAATAAGGACACATAAAACCGAATTGTCCACAACTCTCTAATGGTAAAAATGGCAGCAATAACAATGGTGGAAACATAGGAGTCAGATGTTATCGCTGCCAGGAATCAGGACACTACAGCAAAGACTGTCCACAAAACAATAATGGTAATAATAGAGGAAACAACAACAGTAGTAGCCGTAACAATAATAGGAACAATAATAATAATAATAGTAGCAATAATAATAATAATAATGCAACAAGAAACAATAACAATAATCGGAATACCAATAATAATCCTCAGCAACAATCAATGTTGGCAGACATGGCTGTAGGAAACACAGTAAAGTTAATGTTACCTGTAGAAACAAAGAAACAAAAGACTAACGAAGAAGAAACAGGAGTAGCAATAAATATACAATCAGATGGAAGTGACTCGGGATGAAGAAAGGAACCTAAACCACAAAATAATGAAGGTCTAAAAGAAGAAAGAAAAAGACTACGAAGAGAACACCCAGGAAAAAGAGAAATGCAGTACACCCTCCAATTTCGAATTTGATACAACCATACTCAGTAGTAACTGGCATCAAAAAGCAGAAAACTGATATTACCTTCGGGCAATTATTCCAAGCAGTACCAAAGTTGAGATCGGAATTGTCTAGGAGTTTACAAGAAGAACTAAGTATACACCACAGACTGAACGACTAAATGCTGACATAAGATCAACTGCAATGTACTGCAAAGCAAGTATCAATGGAAGAAGCTTTCCTATAATCATAGATAGTGGGGCAGCAGGAAGTATTATCTCTAAAGGACTGTTAGATAAACTAGGAGTAAAAAATCATCAGTTATAATCATCTATGTAAATGGACAAAAAACTTCACCTTTGCGAGAAGTAGATGACTTGCCACCAACTATAGGAGGAAATCACAATTCCATTATCAGCAATCGTAACAGAATTATTTATTATCAATTGAATTCGTGTTATGTTCACTTATTTAATTATTATTAAGGGTAGGGGGAATCACGTGTTAATGTAATAATAAATCATGGCTCAATTTTTTTTGCCTGCCGGGTACAATATTGATCAATATTTTTATGAAATATTATACATTAAAATTTCCTATAATAAAAAATTAAAAAAAAAAAAATTATATATATGTATATATTTATTTATTTATAAATAATAATCCCAAGAATGAGAATATATCATTTCTTCGGCACCCTCAGCAATATCTATAATTAATGACTTATACCAACTGACCATTTTTGAATTCTAAAAATAAAATAAAATAAGAAGCCTTCATGTAGAAATAATTACTAGTAGATAACAATTTATCAAATATTTATTGAACTTTATTATTTTATGAGAATTTTTTGCCAAATAAGTATTTTATATTATGGAATGTGTAACTTTTACTAGGAAATGAGCAGGTGCTTACTAAGAAATGAGCAAGTGTTTACTATGGAAGAAGTTATGTTTATTTTGAAACGCGTTAAGTTTTTTGAAGAAATTTACAAATTTTTATTAAGAAGTTTTGCTTGAAGTACTTTCAAATAGTTAAGAAACACCAAAATTAGATATAAATAATTTTGAAGTTGTTTCAACGCGCCTTGCCGTAGTTTTACTTTTAAGACAATTACTAATTTGGGAAAACTCGAATTTTTGAAAAAATTGAGCCCTGATTTACTATTATATTAACACGTGATTCCCCTACCCTTAATTAATCCGTAGCACATTCATATTTATTTAACTTTATTTAGTACCCTATAAAAAATTGCACACGGAAAAGATCCGAAAAAGATGCGAGAAAAGTGAGTTTAATTTCATTATTAGTATTAGTATGGGAAAATGTATTTTCCAGTAAAATTCCATACAAATTCCGTACAGTTTTCCTTACAAAATTTTTATAGGGTTGCACATGAGACTGGGCTACAGAAAATTAATGCTGTTATAATAAGTGAAATATCTATGGTGGGCAATGATCTGTTCATCTTCATCAGTAATACCTTCTCCTGGGTTCACAATAATAACTCAACACATATAATACACTCGATCTTTTTCTTTTGTTGACATTAATGTGGCTCACATAACTTGTTTTCAATATCAGTATCACTATGTTAAAAAAAAAAATCATTTAGATTAATTTATAAGAATCTAATTTTTTTTTTTTTTTATTAAATAATTTTTTTACCATTTTTTGAATCACTTATTGAAGCATCATTGTTTTCTCAAATTGTATTCCTCCTAGACTTTTTGTAATTGAATTTTTATCAGTGGAAAAATCGATTTTCCTGAGTCTCTTGTAATCAGTGGGGTGCATATCACACAATAAAATAAAATTAAAAGTTCACCCACCTCGTTTCTGCTAGAGTTTCTATTTGTAAATTCGTAATGCAAATTCTTATTCGAATTATTCATTTTATTTCAAATTATTCATTTTTATTCTATTCGAATTATTCATTTTATTCCAAATTATTCGTTTTTATTTTATTTCGAATTATTCATTTTTATTCACTCGAATTATTTCAAATTATTTTTTATCTTTATTCAAATTATTCATTTTATTTGAATAGAAATCCTAGTTCTGGTAAGTGCAAGGGTTTCTTTCCGGCTGCACACGTACTATCATTGCGGGCAAGTTCTGTTCAGGTGTTTCAGTTTTCTTTCCAGCTTCATATGCTCTAAAAAAAAATAGAAATATACTACAAGCAATATAGTAAAATCAAAAAGGTTCATAATTAATAGTTAAAGATTGGCCAAACCATTAATTATCATAATGATTATTAATTATTATCAAATGTATATTATTAAAAGATCGAAAGAAATTTTTAAGCATATTTATACTTCTTTGAAGTATTACAAACAACATGACTTTTTCATGATTTTGTCCAATAAAATATAATAAATAGGATGTTAATTATTAAAAATAGCTCAATTATTTAATAAATCATGCTTTTTATAATTTAAGTCATCATTAACTACAATAAAATAATTATTATTAAAGGGAAATTTTTTATAATTTTTTTTAAAGTCACTTTTTTAATAATTTGGTAAATGATGTGATGCAGTTAATTAATTAATTTCGTGACAAACATGTTATAATAGTAGTAGAATATATTTAGGGAACTTGGAAAAAGGGAATATGTACTATTGAACTGATTTTAAAACGCCATTCACACAGAAAGAAGGGGACGTTGCTAGTGAAGGGTTTAAAATAGTAATTACACCTCAAAGAGTGGTAGCCTTGTGACTTCAGTGCGCCACCTAGAGTTGACTAGAGTTGTAGGCATGATTTTAAGTTAAAGGGTCAGTTTATATTTTATCGAATGGAATGCATTTCTTTTATCACTAAAAATTCATAGAACACCCTTAGTTTTGAGGATTGAAAACCTTCTTCTCCAGTGTTGGCAATTAGTTAAATAACTTTACCAATCATTCAAAGGTAAAAAAACTGATTCGAGGAAAAGGCCATATTGGCACATGATCATTTAGTATTTTTCAATGACTTGGTCAAATTTTATAATAAAAGAGAGGTCATTTTCCAACGCTGTGAAAAAGCGCATTTTACAATTTTGTTTAAAAATTTATCAATTCCACTTATAATGTAACAGCTTAAAAGTCAATAGGTTATCATATTTCACATTTAAAGAGTTTATAATAGTGACTTTAGAAATGATATATCAAAAAAATGATTTTAATCACATATCTGCAGATGAGTTCCAAATTTGATTAGTGTAAGAATTCAACCGCGCATTTTTATTTGAACCAAAGTTCACAATTTCAAATGTTTTTTTGAACTGATTATTATTGCCAACACTGCTCATCCCAATCACAAATTGCCTTTAGTTACAATCTTTTTTTTAAAGCTTTTTTTTTTTATTAGACAATCTAAACAGTTGATTTCATTTTTTTCATGCTTGATATATTAATTATTTTTATTCATTAATAATTAGTTTTGGACAAATTGGCAAATATTATTATAAAGGTGTTCTTGACGTTTAAGATCTATAGGAGCAAGTGTCAATCTAGAAAGGATAAGGATTTGATGCCTTTTATTATAGCATTAAGATTTCTTGCTTTCAATAACTTAAATTCATGAAAGGAACCATCATTGATAATCTCCTAAGCCTTTACTGAAAACTTCAAAAAAGAAATGTTAAAATTTTCATAAACCTCTAAACCAGACTTAATATACATATATTGAAAACTTTTCCAGCATCACGGCATTGAGATTTATTCAATATGGCAGTAATATACATTATAAATACTATTCTAGTAGGCGAAAATCAAATTTTGATTTTGTCGAAAGCTGAAAGTTTATGTTGAACATTTATGATTTAGTACAAGATTTTTCAGTTGGCCAATAAATATTTTGAGGAACCTATATATAGCTATACCAAATTTGATAGTTTTGCGCAAACTTTTGGTATTTCACCATCTGTCAAAAAGTTGACGCAAGTCGATAGCCTTTGCCCAAAATTACATGGTTAGTTCGGTCTAAAGACCTCCTATTGCTGCACCCTGTGCCCAAATTTCAAAAATTAGTAATTTTGTAATTCGTTTCAAAAAATGTAATAAAAATTTTTTAAAAAATTAGTACTTCACGTGATTTTAGTTTTAAAAAACTATTTCTTGCTGCCAAATTTAGATACGATAATCAAGATCTAGTCTAAATTTAGTAATAATTTTTTCCTAAATTTAGAAATGATCATAGTGGACAAATTCCTCGCGAGCATAGTAAAGTACATGTTTTAAAAAAGAATAGAACTCTACAACAAATAATTTTTTTGAGAATATCTCATTATTACATTAAAACTAAAGACCTATTCTATCAACTAATAATGTTATTTTTTTAAAAGGTAGGACAGAAAGTGTGACTTTTATATTTTTTAAAATTTAGAGGTCTTTAGACCGAGCCAACTATAGAAAAGATTATCTTGATGTAACATAAAAATGTGAGTGTATGAAATTTTCAACTATGTAATAAAGCACAAAAAAAAAATTTTTGATTATCAATAATAGTAGTTTTAAATTTTTGAATTAAAAAAAAAAAAAAAAAAAAAATGCGAGCAGTTCTTCAAAGAGTATTAAATGCAAGTATTATAGTTGACAATGTCAAAGTGTCCTCGATTGATAGAGGATTATGTGTATTGATTGGATTATCAACAGAAGATACTAACGAGGATTTAGAATATATTGTTAAGAAGATACTTAATGTTAAAGTGTTTGATTGTGAGGATGGGGAAGGGAAAGAAAAGAAGATGTGGGCTAGAAGTGTTAAAGATGCTGGTTTGGAAGTATTATGTGGTAAATTATATATATATATATATATATATATATAATTTTGTTTTCCTGATTATGAAATAACTTTTGAAAAAATAAAAATAAAATTATTTTTTTTTTAAAAAAAAAAAAAGTATCACAATTCACATTATACGGAAATACAAGGCAAGGTAATAAACCTGATTTTCACAATTCAATGAAATCAGAAACTTCAAAAACATTTTATGCAAATTTCATTAATAGGTTGAAACAAGAATATATCGAGGATAAAGTTAAAGGTATGATAACAACAACAACAACAACAACGACAACAATTTAATTAATAATTTTTAAATATATATATTTTTTAAGATGGGATCTTTGGAGCAATGATGAATGTTCATCTTGTAAATGAGGTGTGTTTGTTTGTTTTTGCCAAATGTAATTATTTTAAATTACTTTATTGATTGTTTAAAAATAATGTCTTTGATATAGGGACCAGTAACACTGGAATTAGATTCCAGGAAATTTATTTATGTAGATAAAGTAGAAAAAACCCCTAACAAAAACAAAAGCAACAAAAGCAGAAACAACAACAAAAACGACAACAAAAACGACAACAAAAACAATGACAAAGAAAGCGTAGTAGAATGAAGATTGACAAATATTGCCTGTTATTTATCCATTCATAGATTTCTTTGTTGATTATAATCTTTATTTGAAGATAAAAATAAATTATAGTAGAACAATCCTCTCCCCCAACAAAATCCATAATAATGATCAGTTTGCATACAACACAAAAATATTATTCTTTGTCGTACATGCATTAAAAATTTTTTTTTCTTCTTCGCAAATCACATTAATGTCGACCAGGGACTTTAAGTGATCTAAATCTTTCATATACACACATACACATACATACATACACATACACATACACATACATGCATAACAAATTCCATGAATGCTTATTTGTTCACTGCTTGCTTGAACCACACGACGCGTAATAACATAAATCAAAAAAATTAAACACACATTCCAAAAATAACAATAATCGTCATAAAAATCTTAGATTACACTGTCAACCGTCTTCATTCATCTTTTCTTTAACAAACAATTGGTCACCTTTTCCAATTGTAATTTCGATTGCTCCTGTTGTTTTCATTGCAATGCATCAGGTTTTTGCGCATTATTAATAATAAGATTAAGGCAATTATGACAAATTAAATTGAGCCAATTACAATCTTGAATACCCGCATACATACTTTCATATGCGTAACACCAAAAAAATTGATAAATAAGGATGATCTGCGTATTAATTATTTGAACCAAAAAATTAAATTATTTAATTAGAACTATTTTTAAACTTCAAACTTTAAAGTCCAACTTAATATCATAATAATAAAAAAAGATATCACAACATTGAGATAATTATTAAAATCAGAATCTTGATCGTTCATGATCTGATAACACACACATAAAATTCAGATTCGGATGTTTAATGTTTAAGGGTTTCCAAAACATTCGTCTGTTTATATTCATATCCTTTCATTTCCCTACCTGCTACCACATAAATATTTATTTTATTTATTATTTTTTTTTAAAGTTTGTGCGTGTGTAAAATAAACAATAAACAATAAATGGATGATTTTCCAACTCGGAACCATGTTGCAATAAAATGTTATTATTGATAATAATGATTGACGGTAACGATGAATGAAAGAAGAATATTTTATTTATTGGATTATAATTTTTATTTTATGCAAAGAATTAATAATATTTATTTGTTTTTTCATATGCAGAGAAATACTGTATGTGCAAGATTTTTTGCCGAAGATTTAAAATATACATAATAATGAATTAAAGAAAAAAAGCTATTTACATATATAAAAACATTGATTAATAATATAGTAATAGTAGCAATAATAGTAGTAAGATTATTAATTAATAGTAGTAAATATTAATTTTTTTTTTTTGTTTCTAAAGAAAAAATAAAATTCTAATAATAATAATAATAATAATAATAATAATAATAATTTTCTAAAATAATTTTCTATTCGTTGGTTCGTTTGTTCATTCAATTCATATATTTACAAATTAAGTTTTTTTTTTTTTTTTTTTTTTTTTTGTTAAGTAAAAAAAAAATAAAGAATAAAAAAATTAGATTAGCAAATAATGTCCCATATAAATATATATATATTAATCTTAATCGAATGCTAGGTTAAAAATTAAGCAAGTAAAATATTAAAATGATGGTCATAATAATAATAATAATAAAAATAAATAACAATAATAAAATTTATGTTGATGTTAATCTCGCAATATGATGGTATTTGTTATTGTATGTAACCAACCATCATCAATTGAAATGATAGTTGTTGTAACTTCGAATATCATTACCAATTGAAATATTTATCCAAAAAAGAAATTTTTCAATAACAATCAAATTTTTCGCCACAACAATTTATTATGGTGACAATGATGGCGATGTTGTTTGGAATTGTGATAGCGATGTTTGTTGAAGAGGTCTGAACCGAGCACAATGATCTAAATAATTTTGAACAAGATTGCAATTTGTACAATTTATATGAGCCATGACTTGATCTTGTAAAGACATTAACTCATCTTTAAGTGCTCTAACCGAACTGGTCAACTGAGCATTAATTTTCTCGGCTGTGATGACTCGGTCATTCAAATCTTGGACCCAAACTTTTTTCTTTTGGCGACATTTTGAAGCTATAATTAATTATGAAATATAAATATAATATATTATTAATATATTATTATGATTAATTAATATGTGTGTGTGATCAATAAATTGATGATTACCCGCTACTCGATTTCTTTCCAAGAACCGTCTTCTTTTTTCCTCTTGCGATTCCTCTTCATCTAAAAACTTTCTTTTTAGTGATATTGTTTCAATAATGGAGTCATCAGCGGTAGTATCATCATTAATCGGAGTTGTTGGTGTGGTGATGGTATCATCATCAATAACAGATTTTGTTTCATCGTCAACAACAATAATATCATTAACATTAGTGTCACAATCATCATTATTACTGTTACAATTACTGTCATTAGAATGATTACCATTGCCAAAAATTTTGGTTTTTTTGATTAACCTTGTAGTGATAGGTTGTGAATTAGACTTTGATTTTCTTTTTCTTTTGTTGCTATTACGATCGTTGTTGCTTTTGCTGCTATTATTTTCTGCCAGAGTATCAATAATATCAAGATCAATGTAATCTTCAACGTCAACGCCTTTAATAACTTTGTTGTTATTATTCCTATTGTCACTAATTGAAATAACCTTTTGATTTTCTTTTTGTCTTTCGTTTAAGGCTGTTATCGCCTCCTGTTGTTGTGTAGTATTAGAAGCAGAAGTAAGAATTTGTGACGTGGGTGAATGAACTGCAATGGGTGTAAATATTTGTAAATGTGGTGGCGATTGATCATTATTATTATTACCACTATTATTATTATTATTATTATTATCATGAGCATAATTTGTAGCGATGGGGGGATTAGGAGTTGAAGCGTTATTCATTCCATAGAAATCCCCAAGGAGAATTCGACCATCCATGATTAAATGTTCGGGTGGTGGAAATGTTACGAGTGCGAACGTTGATGGTGGAGCCAATGATTGCGATGGTTGTGGTATAAAATTATTGAACGAACCATTAGGTGGGAATGTTTGAACCCAAGAAAGTGGCGAAGGCTGCTGTAATGATGACAATTGCGAAATAGCGGTAGAATTATTATCAATAATATCAGTGTAATTATTATAGTCATAATTTTGTTGTTGTTGTAATGGTGAATGTTGAGGTGTTGTAGTTGCAGTTGTTGATTTTTGTAGGTTGAATTCATCATAATTGTTACGATCGTAGTCATTTTGATTGATGGTAAAAGTGATGATGTCACCATTATTATCGTTGATTTTGTTATTGTTGTCGTTGACAGCGATAATAGTATTGTTGCCATCACGATTATTGTTGATATCGCTGTAATGATCATCATTGCTGGAATAGCAATCTTCTTCGTTGTCGAGGATATTAAATAAAGGAATTGCATCATTATAATTGTCGCCAAAAGAATTGTAGTCAAAGTTGAAATTATCATGATGATGAAAATCTTTGTGTTTTGATGATAACAATAATGGAAATGGTTGTGGCGGAGGTTGTTGTAGAAAAACAGGAGGAGTTCTGTTGATCGATGATCCGGTAGAAGAACCGCTATCCATTCGCAACATACCATGACCATTATTAATACTGGAATTATCATCGTCATCATCATTACTGCTACTGCTATCATTATTATTATTATTGAGTTGTGGCGTTGTTGGAGGAGGAGAGAATAAGTTATCCTATTATATTAGATCGATCGATCGATTTATTAGTAGGAAGATCATTTTTTAAAATAAACAATAATAACGAATATAGAAATGATCGTTGTATTGCTTACCATGGGAAAATGTGGACTAAATGCTGTTGAGGAAAAGAAAAAGAAGAAAGGAAAAAAGGAGGAGGAAACGACGATTTAAATATATTTGAAAAATGATATTTAAACAAAACAAAAATTTATTTTTGGATATTATTTTATCGTTATTATTATTACCTTCCAATATGGACAAGTTATTTTCAAGCATTTTTGTACCGTTATTATTATTATTATTATTATTATTATTGATTTGAATCAAGTTGTTGTCCATTTCTTTAATGATTTATAAAATGAAATACGATTATTTACTCTAGATATATATATAAATATATACAATATATATTTTTTAATAGAGAGCATGATACAAAAATGATATATTCGTACATATATTTAATATAAATATATGTATTAGCACATACCTTATATTAATTGATGATAGATTTTCTTATAATATACGTGTGATATAAATTGATAAATTACTATTCATAAAATTGTTTCGTAAAGGAAAAAAAAAATTATTTTTCATAAAAATTTGAGTTGAGTGTGTGGGTGGTAAAGAGAAAAAAATGCCTATTTAAAATAACAATAACAATAATAATAATTATTATTATTAATCATAAATCAGAAAATTTTTTTAAAAAATTTAAGAAATCAGGAGAGATAAGTTGCTGCTATTTATTGATTTTTCCTTGCTGTTGTTTTTTTGTTTTTGTTTATTATTTTGATATATAATAATACATATAAAGTAATAAATAAGCTAGCTAGTTAATAATAATAATAATAATAATAAATAAAATATAATAATAATAACAACAATTATAATAATAATTATAAAATAATATATTATCTTTATTATAACACACAACAAGTGTCCTGTGCGCGCTCCGTTAGTAATAAAATAGTAAAATAAAAAAATAAAAAGTTTATTAAAGTATATTTTATCAACGATCACTTACACAATGATGTAATTGTTTCTGGTTTGAATTTTTAGAGTTACCGTGATTGATTAACAGGGTAACAGAACCTATCTCATCCTTATTATAAATAAAATAATTAATTATATTATTAGTTAGATTTCTTCGTAGATAATGATCTGCCTATTATTTTCACAAATACTAAATCTGTGATATCTCGTAGATAATGTTTTATAATTAATAAAATTAAAACTCAGTTTGAAATAAACATAATAGAGAATTATTTTATCATTGTTGAGTTTAAAAAAAAAAAAAAATAAAATAAAATTCAGATACGAATC